GTTAGTACTCGAATAATTTCTCCAATTTGAACGCTCATAACATCCACGTATTCGTTCGGCAGAGTATAAACACATATTTGAATTCGGCGTTTCGAGGCGAGTCCGGCGATATATAGCTTGTTTAAAATGGCTTGGCTGAGTACTGACCATTTCCTCATAAGCTTCCAGCTATTCGATGATAATACTCCCGCTAATCTAAAGCGATACTTCATGCAAGTTTTTGAGACCACCATGCAACAACTGCTGCTCACGGATGACTCAAAACATAGAAAGATGAATGAAAATCTCAAATTTTTCTATGCGGTTCAAGAGCAATCCGATATGCTTTACAGTGCTAGCCCACACATTTTGACTTAGTCTCCATATATAAGCCAACCGTTGAACAATAGAAAACATACTATTAGGATTTTATTGAACTGCTCCACTTTATCTAGCCTATTGAACCCTCTTTCGTATGATTTCGATGCTGATCACAAAAAGTTTTGCAAAAAGCGTTGTAAATTAAATTCAATATACTTGCTAGAAGATATGGTAAGCGAAAAATTTAGTAAAATTTAGTGCTTACGAAGGTAAACGGTAGGTGTGAGATTAATTAAAATCATAGAGATAACGTATGACGAAATCTACCAATATGACGCGTTTTGAAATTGTCACTTTTGTATTTCTAGCGTATCTCGCTCTTCTGGCAAATTTTTATTTGATTTCAGGACACAATGGCAGGAAACGCTGCCTTGTTCGCACTGCTACTTGGTAAGATATGCTTGTTGAATTATATGACGTCAATGAGCTCTATTTCAGCTTGTGTCTCTGCAACGTTATGCATGTATGTTGCATTCTTATCACGCATTGAGTTCCACACCAGTTGCCAGTTTGCTCAAGCAAGTTTAAATTGACTATCTATTGCCATCTAGGACTCCAGAAGATGTCAAAAAGCACGCTGTAGCGTCGCTGAGTGTAGCACCTGTGGGCAATGGACATCACGGCAGAGATTTCTACAAATAGTTAGCATACACTTGATTCGATAATACATGCGAATCAACGCTGTTCCTAGCTTCCTAACTACGTACCCGGAAAATCGCAAATTCTACAAGGGAGCCGAGAACTATGGAGAGGAAGACATCATGAAAAGCGAAAGGTAAGGCTACTCAGGTAGAGTCTGAGATCAGTAAATGATCAAAGTGATTTCAGATTTGATAAGCTTGGAGACGCTATTCTGTTGTTTGTTCATGTTTTAGCCAACACATATGACAATGTGAGCTCCGAAGCATACATTTGTAGCTGTGCGACTAACCCTAGTTTTTAGGAACCAGTATTCCGAGCTTTCTGCCACAGAGTCATGCTTGAGCACAAGGACAGGGGCATTGACCCAGCTTTGTGGAAGGTCATCAGCAAATTACAGAGATTGCACTCCATCGAAATAAACAGCGATTTGCATCCAAGAGAAAACCTATTTTTGATTTAGATATTCTTCAACAAATTTTGGAGAGGTTATCTGGAAAGCAAAGGAGCTAATCTGACCAATGAGCAGAAGACCGCATGGGACACTTTGGGTGCAATGTTCAATGAGGAAAGTCAAACTGCGTTGGCCAAGATGGGACTTCCTCATTTGTAATGTCCATTTCTGCCTTAACATCCACTTGACTATTTTGTGAAAATGCTGTTCATAGGAGCGCAAAGGAGATTAAGAAGCATGCCGTTGAGTCTCTTAGCGTAGCTCCTGTGGGAGATGGACACCACGGCAGGGATTTCTATAAGTAGTAAGCGGTCATCTTCTAGCTCTTATTGTTAGTGTAAAGATTCCGAAAAAAATTTTGTTGCAGCTTCTTGACAACGTATCCAGAGAATCGTAAATTTTACAAGGGAGCAGAAAATTACACTGAAGACGACATAATCAAAAGTGAACGGTAGGTTGATATATAGCTATAAATTTGTAGAAATTTCAACAATTTATATAGATTTGACAAGCTCGGGGACGCCATCTTACTATTCGTCCATGTATTGGCCAATACCTACGATAATGTGAGTTCTAAAGTAGGATACTATTGTTTTTTATGTTGATTTCCTAGGAACCCGTATTTCGAGCCTTTTGCTACAGAGTCATGCATGAGCACAAAGACAGGGGAATCGACCCAGAGCTATGGAAGGTATATCTGATTTTTCTCATTTTGTTGAGCGTAGTAGCTTTATTTAGTTTGATGTCATTGAATGACTTTTATTTCTTTCGCAGATATTTTTCGACAAGTTCTGGAGCGGTTATTTGGAGAGCAAAGGAGCTACTCTAAATGATGAGCAAAAATCGTCGTGGCACAACTTGGGCATAATGTTCAATGAAGAAAGTCAAGCGGCATTAGCCAAGATGGGGCTTCCCCACGCCTAGACATTTTTGCTCAATATTGGTTATTTATAAATACTGCGATTGATTTTTGTATGTGTTATTGGGCTTGAAGCAATACAAGCCAAAGGCATACTTAGAGCGGGCCTGACCTCATGGAGATATAAATTTTTTTT